AAGAGCACACTGCTTACACCATTATTTGACCTATCCACCTTGCCGTCAGCTTTAGAGATGTGAAGGCCTAGAAACCTGTACTATTTTGGAGGAAAAAATGTTTCCCCCCTCCCTTTCTTTTTTCAGTCATTTTTCAGCCTCCACAATATTTACATTTCTCCTGGGCCTTCACATCTCTAGTCCTGAACTTGTCCTTGCAAATTCACATTGGGGTCCATCTACAGTGCACTTATCTCCCGTAGTATAGACTTGTAAACAAGCCCCACTCAAATGCATTTTCACAATCACATGGTTGCAGAGAGCTGAATTAGAAATGGATATCTGCAGTTGTTAATCTGCAGTTGTTAATCACAGCATGATTTCACACTTAGCAGATCAAAAGCACTGAATGACACTTCCTCTTCAGTAAAGGTGTAACTAAACGCACATTTTCCTTCTGCAGGACGGTGGAAGTTGTGTAGTTGCAATTGAGACCACGTATGTTCCATCTCGGAATGGACAACCTCTGTGGATCCTGGGTGATGTCTTCCTTAAGGAATATTACTCCGTCTTCGATCTGGCCAACAACAGAGTGGGCTTTGCAAAATCAGCTTAGACAATGCCATAGCTATCTCCTTTTCATTCCAATGCTGGTATTCCACGGATTCTAATATAATGACTTTAAATTAGACCTACAATATACATCACAGATATATTTATGTTCTATTGACTGTCTCTGATGGGTAGAGATAAATAAATCTGTCCAGTGTAATTACACTCACATTCTCCTTTCCCATCCTTTAATAAATTTCATCTTTTTTGATGTAACTTATCAGTTTGCTTGAAAATCTGTAGGCATTTGCAACTACTTTTTTCTCCCGAAGTACGTGTTTTGGTACAGATTTTTACTAACACACACATTTTCACTAGGCAGTTTTCTGTAATGTAAGAATAGAATTTTAATGAAATGCACTAATCTGAGTATATTTCACTTTGGAATATATAGTTTTGGATAAAACGTTATGCGATACACATATTTTGAACACCTTTGGCCATTTGCATTAGAAAATTTTGAAAAATGCTAATATCACAGAATAACATGGTTTCAATTCAGACATAAATTTCAAGAAGTAAGAATAATTTCCCCACCATTGCACATATTTTGTCTATAATTACTTGTTATAAGATCCACTGCTACAAATTAAACTCTAATATACCATATTGTTCCTGAGGTTTGTTTAAAATATTTACAAAGTGTGAAAATGTCAAGGAGAAGGGAGGCGGAATAGAGAATTAATGGAAACATGGAGAGGGAATCCAATTAAAGCAGGAGGAGAAGACCCTGCGAAATATTCATTTATTTTATTTATTATTACTTTTATGTGACACCCATCTCCTCCAGAGGGTGGCTCTGGGCAGCTTACAATTAAAAACCAAGACAATAAAAGTATAAAAATATAAATACTGCCCAGTTAAAACTCAAATAACAAATCTATAAAAGCAATATGCAAATCAAGAAGATGGGGGAAGCAGTATCAATCATCCCATGAGCCAGTTCCAGCAATGTGAGCCCCCATCAGGCCCCAGGCCATCCGGCATAGCCATGTTTTTACACCTTTTTGGAAGGCCAGGAGAGTGGGGGCAGCCCGCAGTCAGCTGGCAAGCTGTTCCACAGGGCGGGCATGGCAGAAAAGGCCCTCTTCCTAGACCCCACCAGCCAAACTTCCCTGACTGGAGGGGTCCGCAACATGAACTTTCTGCCGGACTGAGTGGGGCGGGCAGATATAAAGGGGGCGAGATGGCTCCTGAGATAACCTGGTCTTGTGCCATGAAGGGCTTTAAAGGTGATAACCAACACCATGAATTGGACCCAGAAGCAAACTGGCAACCAATACAGCTCACGTAACAGAGGTGTTATATGTGCCACCTTAGGGGCATTCAAAATGGTCTGCGCTGGTGCATTTTGTACCAGGTCTGGCTTCCAAATACTCATCAAGGGTAGCCCAGTGTAGAGTGCATTGAAGTAATCCAAATGGGAGGTGACCAGGGTATGAGTGACAGAACGGAGGCCCTCCTGATACAGGAAGTGGCGTAACTGATGCACAACACAAAGCTGCGCAAAGGCCCTCCTAGCCACCACTGCCATCTGCTCTTCAAACAGGAGTTGTGAGTCTAGGAGGACCCCCAGATTACATAATCAGATTAAACAGATTACCCCCAAATATCATAGGACATTCTGCAGGTGTAATTTTGCATTTAATAAACAAGAAGATAAATTCTTCAACCTGTTTTAATGCTATAAATAATAACTTGAGAACCATAATTTACTCCCCTGCGTGATGCCTTTTAGTGTGTTTGACTACCAGTAGTAGAACTCTTGATCAGTACGCTCAGGTGAAGGATCCCAAATTGGGAAAGGCTAATCTTAGAATTGGAATAAATTCTCCTTTGATGGGACACAATTGTATAACCTTCTTTTGTGATGAAATATCTCCAGGACTTTTTTTCAGAATTGTTTTCTTTAGTGGCTTTCATATTTAAATTATAGTTGGGTTCATACATCACACTAAGTTACTTGTCAGATAAACCGAATGATTAGGTTCACCCAACATACAAAACCAAAAGCCAGCAAAGCACTTTATTATTTGATCATTATTATAATTATGATTTGTGCAATCAGTAAACCTAACACATTCTAGAAGGATGTTGAAAGTTTGAGGTAGAATTTAAGGAATATTCTTTGAATGTTGGGACATTATTTCTAAATACAGATAACTACAATAACAAGAACAACAACAACAAAGCCTGTTTCTCCCTTAGAGCCACTTCCTAGTGTCAGAAAAAACATTTTTAATTTTTCAGCATTTACTATTGCTCAGAGGAACACAAAAATATTGTTATAAAAGTTCATAAAATGGTCAGTCATGACCTGATATTTTAATGAAAATACTGAAGATTCCCTATGCTACTAATAACTAAATGCATTCAGAATTTCTCCAATATATAGCTGTGTGAGTATCCAGTAGAAGAGAATAGATGTAGCTCAGGATTGAACTGTGGAGTCCTTGGTGCTCTCTGAGCTTGGTTGTTTGCTTGAAATGTCTGCAAGCAAACAACCAAACTCAGAAAGCACCAAGGATTCCACAGTTGTGTGAGTATGTGTCTTTTTTTTTGGGGGGGGGGGGATAATATTTGGTGAGAACTACAATCCATAAACTTCTTTGCCTGAATGTTCCATTCGTTTAACTGAAATCATAACTGAATGTTAAAGGTCTGCTTATAACATTTGCTCATGTTATTCCAAAACCTTCAGTGAACCATATACAATATCAGTTAAAATATTGTATATTCTTAGAAATCAAACCTTTATTCACAGAAAGTTGAATTAAGAATAAGACATCTGGAAGTGGTTAGAGCATCTAAACTGTAGAAGACAGCAGCTTTTAACCAACCTCGCCTGATCTTGGCAGCCAAGCAGGGTTGGCATTTGCTAGGACATGGTTGAGACCATCTGGGAATTCCAGGGCTCTTGGTTAAGCTTGGAAGTTTTTAAAAAAATGGCCAGAAGAAGGCACCAGCAGCAATTTCTGTAATACTGCAAAGAAAACGGCATGAATGTGTTTTTTTACTTTCATCTAAAACAGAAAAAGGCCTCATGAATACAGATAATCCTTGCTTAACGATGATAATTGGGACTGGAATTTCTGTCGCTAAGCAATGTGGTCGTAAAGCACAACATCATGTGACTATGCCACTTAGCGATGCAGTCCTACATAGTTAAGTGAACCTCTGCAGATCATTAAGTGAGGACCTCACATGACCATAACTTCAGGCTTCCTGCCAGTTCCCCATTGACTTTGCTTGTCAGAAGCTGGCAGGGAAGGTCACAAATCACAATCACATGACCGCGGGATGCTGTGATGGTTGGAAATTTGGGCTGGGCACTGAGTGCCCAGATCATGATCACATGACCACAGGGTGCTGCGACAGCCAAAACGTCAAGGACTGGTCATAAGTACCAGTCATTCAGCACTGTCATAAGTTTGAACGGTCACCAAACTAGTGGTTGTTAACCAAGGACCACCTGTAAGTTTAGCTGAAAGGAGTTCAACTCCCAATTACTGTCATTAAGCAGGGATTACCTGTATTCATGACACCTTTTGTGTTTTAGATAAAAGTAAAAAACACATTCATGCAGTTTTCTTTGCAATATTAATTAAATCAATTAGTCTGATTTAATATTAGATGGCATCTTCAACATTTGCTAGCAAGTAAACACTGAACTTTGACATCGAGGGCTCAGATAGAGGAATCTTAAGGCCTTCTTTTGCTGGCCAATGCAACAGTTGGGGGAACGGTTTACCATTTTGCGTGCTCCTAATCTGGACTTTTATTTTCTGTTCCATGGACACTAATAAAATCAGAAAAAATTATGTGAACTCTGGGCTGACCAGAAGAGCTTTCCACCAGCAATACAATGATTACAGTGATTGTTCAGTTTCTTCCAGAAGCATAATTCCACTTGCCAATGGAGCTCCTCTGTTCTTGTAGAGCAGCTCTTCCACAGATCCTCCAACCAACCAAGAGTCCAACCAACCAAGAGTGGCAAGAGTCTCGCTGATGAGCTGTAAAATGGTAGCCTAAATGTGTAATAGTGTGTTACACTATTTAAAATTTGATTTTTGAGCATCAGTAAAAAGACAGTGTTCTATGAGTGCCATTAAGAGGGAAAGACTTGAAAATCGACTTTTTTCACCAAACAAAACTGTGGAAAGCTGTCAATAAGAAGGGAATTGGATCCTAAAAATATGCATAGCATGCTGCTATAGATTTGGTTAATTAAGTAAGTGCTAAAATAGGTATAAATACAGACTGGAATTATGTCCATTAGTTTGAAGCTGTAAAGTATTATGCAATTTTAAAAGGGGTAGCTATTCACTGCAACAAACGCAATAGACTCTTGTGGTACCTTAAAAACAAATAAATGTATTATGGCATAAAGTTTTGTGGATTATAAACAGCTTCATCCTACCCAATCATGCTGCCCATGGTGGGAATAGCAAAAAGAGAGATCAGAAAGAAATTAAATGTTGGAGGTACAAAGATAGTTACTAATGGCACATTAAGTATAATATATAAAAAGTAGAGTTGAATTCTTGATTAATTACAGCACAGCTATTTTGGGGCCATGATGCTTCCATCTTATATAAAATAAAATTGAAGTGACTTAAGTCAAACCTGGTTCTTAAGTACATTACCACATATTGAAGTG